GCAAAAACACATTGAATATTCACATATATACACATGTATATCCGCATTTACAACGTTTCTTTTTTGCTTAGAAACTTAAAAAAAATAACACAGAGTTAAAAAAGGAAAACGATAAGAATATGAAAGAAAAATATTCAACATGAAGGGATCAAGCAGATTTCCAAGGAAAAGTGAAATCCGGAGGGGAGCAGAACAACATTGAAGCAAACCAGATTGAGATGATTTGATATTCGGTATTTTTTTTTTCACTTTAAATATCAAACTCACACCGCGTCATGCACTCATCATCAAAGAGATGTGAGCAAAAAACTTTACCATTGATTTCGTCAAGTCGATTCGATTCGATTTAATGCTGCCTATACTGATTTTTTTTACACCATTAAATGCCAGTCGTCGTTACTTTTTTACATTCCTCTTTACTTTCATCATCACATTGCATGTGTAAAAAAAGAAATAAAGAAGAAAATTTTCCTTTCGTCTCGATTGTAATAACAAGAATATTAAAACAACGAAAGGAAAATTTGTAACTGAGACACATCGCTCATTACAAACACTAAAAGAGACGATAGACTCTCTTCCTAGATTAAACGTTTAATTTATTGCAGTTTGGTTACTCGATAGGAGTGCTAATATTATAAAGGGAAGAGATTTAAAATTTAAATTGTCATTAAATAAACTTCGCGACCCGAAATGCGCTTCATTCAGAAATGTAGTTGACACTTTTCTACCTGAAAGCTTTTAAATTGTACAAAAACATCAACTGAATGCGAACTTATCGAATATAAAGAGATAGCGAATGAATGAGTACAAGAATTGCGTGAATTACTTTTCTATCTTCACAAGACTCGGCAAGTTGATTACAACACACTGAGTCTCTTTTTTTTCTTCTCCGCACATCATCCCCATCTTTCCCTTTCAAAGAATATAGAATTGAATGAAGAGAATGGGAAAATAGCAAAGGATGTTTTCATCGCATGTCTTTTACAGTGATCCGCACGCGTCATGAACGAACGGAAAAAAAGGAACAAAAAAAATAAAATCAAAGGAGATGAAAAATTTTTTTCCTTTTCTTTTTGTTGCCTTTTTAAAAATCTCCCAAAAGTAAAATTTTTTTCTTGCACGATTTCAGTGCTTGTTCATTTTCATTTGAAGATTCATTCAACGAGACATGCGAGAATGAAAGAGAAACAATGAGAGAAAAGCACACAGAAAAATGTGGTAATGAGAATTTAAAATGAAATTATTTCAATTATTTAATGTTGCATTGTCAGATGTTCTCAATTAGTTCCTCGAGAATTGACGGATGCTTAATGGATGAGAAGTTGTGGAAGAGAATGCCATTTAGAATTAAGGGAAACTTTTCATGATACTATTAACTTTGGTGATTGTCGGTCTACGATGATGAAATGGTTGAGTTGTGTTGCCTTTTTTTTCGTGCATTTGGCAAATGTTACTGATGTTTTCGGTAGTAAATGTTTATGGGTTTAATAACTGCTGAAGAATTTAGATTCTATTTTCGGATGCTAAGCATGTTTTGAAGTAAATTTGTAAAGAGTAAAGAGAGAAAATTGAAAGAGATCTTAACTGATAGTGGACATGCTTATTGCATGAAATGCTAGCAATTTTTTTTATAGAACTTTAGATGTGTTAAACTAAAAGGGTTTTGTAACCTTAAATTTTTGTAATTTTTCAATTCTACCTTCATTACTTGGTCAAGCTATGTTCATGTTTTTAGGGTTTGAAAATGTTAAATCTCATTTTTTAGGATTAATTTCCGATAATATTAGCGATTATTTACTATAAAAGTCAAGAAAGATTATAGAAAGGTAGCTATGTGGTACTTGATATTATAATAAGTCTATTATGGATCTTCTATCACTTCCTCTATGTTAATATCCCTAACAACTTAATTACAAAGAAGGAATGCAGAAATTACTACCACATTAAAGCTCTTCATACTAGAGCGCTTCGGCTGTTAAGTGCTCTTACATTACATGATAGTAGATAAGGCAGATCACTGTTTAAAGTAACATAGATAATTTGTAATAAAGTTATTCTTATATTTTTATCTGCATTAAATGATCTAAAAACTTAATTTCTCTTGAAAGCTTACTCCGCATTAATGTGTAAATGTGACAAGATAAGGAAATAAAGATTTTCCAGCCCTGAATTTTTGTAGAGGCAAAAAGCTGCCAATTTTAATTGTAAACGTGCCCTTTTTTTTTTGCTTGACCAGTTGCAATTTTATTAAAGCATAATGTAGCTAGAGTAAAAACTAGGTTTTGATAGTGTCTAGGATAGTTAATGGATATAATAATTTAAAAATTAAATTATTTTAAAGTATTGGTATCTGAAGTAATCCTAAGACTTTAGAAATATTGGCAATATTGCCCTCATTTCTTGATATAATTTGCTTGCTCTGTCTCTCACTCTCTCTCTCTCTCGATTTTCCTTTTTTCGTTTCTATCTCTTTAATTCAATCATTTTCCGTTTTTTTTTATGAAGAAGAGAAGAAAAATTTGCTCTTCTTCTTCCTTTTTTCATTACTTGATGACTCAACAAGATTTCTTCGTAATAAAATGTATAATAGTATCGATGTATAAATATTATATGTATATACACATACATTTCCTTCCATCATACCGTTGAAGATATCATAAAATGATAATAACAACAACAATATGATGAGTACATAATTGATTGAGTATAAAAAATTGTTCGCTTGCAAGATTGAAGAAAAAGCAAGCATTCATGGGAAAGAGAAAAGGAATGGAATGAAATGAAAAGGGAAAAACAAGTAGGAAAGGTTTTATAGCTGCATATATGTAGAATAGACAGCTTCTTAATGTATATCTCTTTGGACTTATAATAATGCTGTTGTGCTTAATTCTAGATCCAAAAGTTCAAACTTTATACCTTAATTAGCTATTAACAATTTTCAAGAACTTGTAGCTGATGTAAATGAAAACAAATAGGAATCAACCGCATTTCATTCCTAAAAACTTAAAGGATCAGTCATGAAAATTTAATAAACTCAAATGTTCAAATGTACAGCAGGCAGGCTAAAAAGTTTAAGTGTTAATTTATCATTTAATCAGTCAACATGCCAAGCTAGCTTTGTAGCAGAGTGACAGTTTATCACTCAATTGTCAACTCAATCAGGTTTTTCATCGTCAGATCAGGCAATGAGTTAGTCACGCAACAGAGTAAATTAACTTTCAACATAAATGTCCTTAAAATGGATTCGGGGAGATTTCAAATCAATTTTGTTGGTTCACATATGTTTGACAAATAAGACAAAATGAGTTCGCAAATTAATTTTTTAGGATGAAAAATTATGTATCGAAAAAAAAAGTAGGTAGAGATGATGTCTTGTTGTGTAGCACACACAAGAAGAGCAGGAAAAGAATATATCGGAAAAAAGGAAAAAATAAAAGCAGAAAGAAAAGAAAAGAAAAATTGAATTGAATGAGAGAAAATATAACGAAAATGTTCATTTTTGTTGTGCCGGAGCAGAACGGAGCAGAAAATTTTGTTTTATTTTGTTATGAGAAAGAAATAAAAAAATTTACGACTCACGAAATTGTCGTAATAACGCCAAATTGTCACTCAATTGCCCACTCATATCTAAAAGTCGAGATTTTTTTCAATTGTAAATTGATAAGATAATTAGGATAAGAGCTCATTCATAAATGACGTCAAATAATGAGAGAAGAATGCTTTTTAACACTTCGTCAGATCACATTTCTCAACAAACTCTTCTTCTTCTCCTTCATTCTCATCATTTCCACGAACCACACTGATTTCATTATTGATTAATCACACACAAGGACGAGTGACGATTTTTTATGCTCTCGGAAAAAAGAAATAAATATGTAGAAAAAAATTACACAACAACAAAAAAAGATGGAATAAACTGAAAGAGAGAGAATTATGGTAAAGGTGGTTTCATTCCTCTTTTTCTTTCTTATTTGAATTGTCATTTTTTTTCTACACTCTTTATGTATTGTTGTTGTAACGGCTTACATCAACTAGCCACCCACCATCTAACCTCGCAACATCATCATCATATACGTTGAAATGATATGGTGTGAGTAGCCACTAACCGTAAATGGTAAAAGGACATGAAATGTTGTCGAGAGTTGGAGTAGGAGAGAGCAATCTTATTCAGGACTTCAATAGTGAAATGAAATGGAAAAGGAAAATTGTAGAAAATCACGTTTTATGGAAGAATAAGGTGCAGCTTTGTTCCAGAAAAGTCATTGGCTAAACTTTCATTTAAATTACATTAAAATCAGAACGAATAATTGAGATTAACACATTTCTGTTATACACGTGTACTGATGAGTACTTTAAACTTATTGCTATTTTTATTAGGAATCTCCTTAATTTTTTAATGAATTGAATTTTTAAAGCACAGGAAACTTTACATGTTTGATCAATTCAACGCACCAGCCGCCTAAATTGAACACAAAAGCACGCTTTCATAATAAAGATGCACTAAAAACGTTTCATCCTTTAAAATGCTTTCGCTTATTCACAATAAAAAAAATGTATGAGTTTATACATTTGTGGTTTTTCCTTCAAACGTATACTTCCATTACCATTGCCATGATCTACAGTTTTGCTTGAAATTCCATTTTTTTTTTTCATTTATTGCGGAGGAGTTGTTGAGTAATACTTGAGAGAGTGAGAAGGAGAGAGAAAAATTGAAAATTTCTGAGTAAGTGAAACGAAGAGCGAGAGAATATGGAATTGAATCACAGGCAAGGCATGTATTGATGAGCTTTTTTTTTCGTTCCATCAATCGCTTTTATTTGATTGACGATGAGTTCAAAAATCTCTTTGTCACTTTTTTTTCGTTTCATTTTTTAAAAAAAACTGGAATTTTCCTTTCACATTTAAAAATTTGTTTGTGTAATGGCACTAGTTATATTCACGATGAGCAAATGAAGGAACATAAAAGTTGTTATATTAAAACAGATTGATTGATTGATTACCTGGAGATCCGGTGCTGTGTTTGGTTGCGCCAGATCGCACGCTGATAACCACGGATTTATATTGGACAAAAACGATGTGGATGTTTGTTGTGATGTTTCATATTTTGCACTTTCGTCCCGTTTGCTCAACAACTTGCCCCTATTACTGCTCTCTCTTTGTTGCTGGTTGGTGCTACTTTGAGCCCCCGAAATAAACGCAAGCGCAACCATCACGACCAACCTGGGTCCTGGCCGCATATTGACCGATTCGTAAGCGCTAGCATTTTTGCTTTTTCAGGCCAGGCCCTTGAGCAGACAACTGTGAATTGAAAATGGGGATCATCGCCGCCCCATTTTTGATGGTACCTGACCACACACCGATTTCGATGGTGATTTAATACACCAATCCACAATTTTGCACTTGCAGTGAGATGATTGGCTTTACACTTTGTTTCACAATTTTTTCCACAACAATAACGCGACAACAATGAATTTTTTCGATATTTTTTCGTAATTCCTTTACTGCTCCGCTGTCGGCCATCTTGAGCACTGCCGTAATTTTCGTTTATGCACACGTGTTGTAATCTAGGTCCTGCACAACCACCAAAATCAATACTTTGACACAACGAACGCGAAATATATGATGATGTAACGTAAGACCAACGCGAATTTGATGGCAATATCGATAAGGACCTCCGGGCTAATCCGTCAAATTTATCATTCATTCAGAATTTGAGAGAGACAATCCCCCGTGCGAGTTGTGCGCGCGGCTGCTAGCTGCTAGGCTGACCAAACTATACTGAAAATTTTTTTTATTCTCCTTTCTTTCCTTTTTTTATTTTTTTGTGTGTGCCTTTCCAATATTTCCTTTCCTTACCGAATTTAACGAACACAAAAACACACTGAATGAACTTTCTTTTTTTTTTTGGTGAGTTTAAGATTTCACTGAACTGACAAACACAAATTTAGTTCCCGTTTTTCTTTAGTCTGATTGCTTTTCTTTTAAAATATTTTTTTGGAGGTCCAAACTTAATGTTTCCTCTTTTATTTTTTTTTCTAGGGGAATTATTTAAAATAATTTTTCATATAATATGTACAAAACATATACACACACTCAGGAGACCCGCGACTATATTCGAAAAAGTGTCCTTCTTAACACACAAAAATCAGCTTTTTCGGGAATAAAGTTTATGGAAGTGTTCACGCTACTTCCAAGACACAAAACGAAAAGTGAGAAAAAAAAATTGAATGGAAAGTCGAGTACAAGAACTGTATTTTGCTCGACTTTCTAGTCTCTATGCTCTGTACAGATGTGATGCGCACCCCCTTTATATGAATCGATATTTTGACGCAGGCGATAATATATGAAAACTTCCAGACTAGAAAGCTCTTCGGCTTCAGTCAGCAGACAGTTGCTGTAACGAGTTTGCTACTTTCCCATAAATTTTTTCTTTCATCCGAGACAAAGCCGACTCATGGTAATCTTCTACTGTCACTGACACAAATGCGAATTTTGCGAGAGAAAATTGTGAGAGTTTTTTTTTCTTCTGATAGCAAAGTCGGGGAAATTAAGGTGAAGTTCTTCTTCCTGTTAATATTCTTTTCCTTTCACAAAAGAATTACGTTTTCCATGACATCTATGGAGAAAATCCTAGACTTGATACAACAACTGACGGCAATGATTATGATAAATTTCGTTTTCGGATAGGAAAATGTCCCCCTTTTTGAATTTAATCTCCTTGATTCCTTTGCAAGCGAGCAAAAAAGGAACAAAAAGCACTGAAATTTTTTTCACTTTTTTATTAGTCTTTTAAAGAGTTTTTTATGTATTTTGTTCATGGAAATTTAATTTTTTTCTCAATCATTAAGGCACAAACAAAAATACTGTCATTAACTTTTATCCAAAAAATGTCCGCTTTTTAATTGTTTCTAAATATTTTCAATTGTTTTTATTATTTTCACATTAAATTATTAAAATAACTTTCTATTTAACTTTTCTCTTTCTTTTTTTTAAAGGTTTTCCTTCTGAAATTTTGTTTTTTCGGGGCCGTTTGCGTATCGTTAACCTTTCTCGCGCGAGCGTTGAGAGCGAACTAAAGTGGAACAATATGAAAAGTAAACCATTCACTTTTCACTGTTTAAGTTTTTCCGATTCTGTTTGTATTGGTGGAGAGGAGCTTTTTATGTTTGAATCATTATGGACTATTTTGATGATTAAGAGGTCAAGTTATTGTTTGTTTGAAATTCATGAAATAAAGTTTTTTAAGATTTTAGGAAATTTAATAATTTATTTCAAACAAAAATTATCAAATTTATGGCTCTTTAGTTTTTTTAAGAACGAAACAAATATTCTTAAAACGTTTATATTTTGGAGGAGTTGTTTAAGAATATTGTATAAGTTTTTTTTTAAAAAAAATATATAACCTGCAAACCCTCTCTATCTACTCATTTATTGTAAATTATTGAATTAAAAGAATTAATATAATCCAGCAATTATAATTTAAAAGAATAACAAAATTTCATACTAAATTAACAATCTTCTTTATTTCAAACCTAATCCTTATTTTCGAATATTTGAATTTTAAAAAACCGTTACGCTTCATTTGCACATCCAAACATTTTCAACTCGATCGTTGTTTCGACAAGTGATGTTTTAAACAACGAAAGAGAAGCAAAAAAGAAAGAGAAAGAAGAAAAAAACATGCAGCTTAGTAAGTAACAACAAGTATCCAGTCGACAGCGATACTTCAAACGCGCATGTTTATTTTTTGAAGTCTCTTTTTTATTCTCTCCACGAGTGATCAAGTCATAAATAATTTTCGTATTTTTGCCTATTCGTCAATCAGTTTATGGTGAAAAGAAAATAAAGTGAATATCGATAGTTAAATTATTCAAGAGTCGCGCGCATAAAATTGACAATAAAAATTTGTGTACAAAATAAAAGTGTAAGTGTTGCACATTTTCGATGATTTTTATCTTATCGATATTAAAATTTATTGATAGAAGTTGCTGTTATCACATGAAAATGCCATTAAATTCTCAATAAGTTTGCACCAAAAAAACCTGTTAATTTTTTTTTGCTATCGGAAATTTTTGTTTTCGTTCTACGAAGTGAATTATTTACACAATGACGACGAGGATGATGATGATGATGATGAGAGATCGAGCGAGTTTGTGTATATTCAAGTGGTGGTTTATTGTAAAAATTTGTTAGAATTCCTCCTGATGTTGCGGTTTAGTGCAGTTTTGTTGCATATATTTAAAGATATTTATTGATACTCATTTGTAGTATTAATCTCAAACGAAGGTTTGCTAGATTGTTAAGTGTGGAGATTTAATAATGTAATTTAGAAATTTGTGCCTTACAAAAATTATAAATACAAATTAAATAGTTTTTAAACCTATCATACCCCCCCCCCCCTCTTCAAATTTAAAAAAACACTTAATTATCGAATGTAAAAAGTGTAAATTTTATTTAAAAGAATATTAAACTTAAAGTAACTTTTTACCGACTTGTAATAATATTTTGACAAAATCTTGCATGATCATTTTCGCGTATTTTTTGTGTATTTTCGGAAAGAAGTTGAACGACCTTGATGAAGCAAGCAAAAAACCGGGTTATACAAGCGCAATCGAGAGTGGTCTGCTATGCAAAAAGACGTTAGAATGGCAATTTTTTTTAAGATTCTTAACTTCTTGATTTATCGCATATTAAAAAAAATTCAGGATGCTCTCAACATTCGTCGAAGTTTCAATAATTAACGACAAAATCTGATGGAATTTTTTCAAGAGCTTGACTCTGATTGTTTATTTCTCTCCGAAATGTTTATAGCTTACCAATTTCTTTTGAGATTTTCTCGATTGCCAAGAAAAACTCTTTCATCCTCAAAAAAAAAAAAGTTTTGTCTGTGTATACGTGCTGATGTATTTTTGTATTAAGCAATTATAAACGATCAATTTCTGCTACTACAAGTTAGAGTTGTCAGTGATGGTATACACGATAAAAAAAGAATAAGAAGTGATGAAATGATAAAAATAAATTTTTTCTGTATCGTGTGATTAATTTAGTGAGGCTCGTGAAAGACTTTCTTGTGCTACTTGCTGACTCGAAAGAAATTTTTTTATTTTCACTTGATTTTCATTCAAGCAAGAAAAATTTGAAATATTTTCGTGTCTACACTTGACATTGTTATTTTTTTCATAATTAATATCTCATGCTTTATGATCGATGATCCTTACGTTACTTGTAGAAAAATTTGAAAATATCTTCGACTTTAACTTTTCTTTAATGACAGAAAGAAAAGACTTCAAAGAGGTTAAGGATAGATTAAGGTCAATTTATATGGTGATAAATGTTATTCAAATTGAAAGTTTTCAAGCAGTTTTTTTCATCAATAATGCAAGATTTTAATACTTAAACTCAATTGAAAGCTAGATTTTGAAAAGTAAGTTTTATTTGCTGTTTTCTTCAATGAAATTTTAAATTTTAAATTTTTCCTGATCATAAATCACATTAAAAACTTTGAATAGAGTTAAAAAAAACTAAGCAAATGTAAATTTTTGATGTTTTAGGACTATTCATATTCAGCACCACCAATAGACAATTAAAATGTTCTTTAAAGCAAACACTTAGAAAACAAAGTGTTCAAATTTTTATGACTCACTCCAACTTTTCATTCTTCTGTAATAGTTTTTTTTACAAACAATCAGTTTGGCGTTATTCGTGATGACTTTACTAAATATTGTATGAATCATATGTTTATAGAAATTAATGGTTTTTTTTTCTTCTTTTACTTATTAAGAATAAGTAATAAGATAATTAAGTGAGAAAAAGGTTTCTAAAATACTTCAATATTTCGATCCTAGTCATTAGATTTTGCCAAAAAAAGTTCTATAATTTCCTCAATTTAAACGAAACTCAATTAACATTTTTGTTTTTTTTACAAACCAATCCAATAAGTACACACAATGAACCTCTTGACTTCAATCAGTAGGATAATAGTACACGATCATAGCTCCGGAAGACAAATTATTATGAATTATGAGAAGATCAGCAGATTACAAGTAATTTAGCTTCATTCATTCAAAATCTTGGCATCTATATGAATAATCGGTTTATTTTTTGTTATTATACTTTAATTAAATATTTTTAGGAAATCAGAATTTCAATCTTCACACCATGAATATTTTTTATTGCATTTCATTTCTTTCTGGCTTTAAATTCAGCTTAACTGAATAGATCACAATAATTACGTTTCATATGAACTTAAACTTGAAAATGTGCAACAAAAAAAAAGAAGAAAAGTTACTTGAATGTTGAAAATATTAAACATAAAAGCAGTATGCTGTTTGTGGCATTGAATGAAATGTGGTTATAAATCTGTTGAACCATGCCGAATATGACACTATGATTATAAATCTATTATACGCTATTGGTTTGTTTAGTAATTACGTCACCTTCTCCCAACTTTTTGTACTGTTTACTAGCTGTGGTGATAGGATTCTCATCAAAATATGTAATCTGTACATCCATTTAATCCCCTTAATCACGATTGTAATAGGTAAACGAATCCCACGAAATTGATAATTTTTCACTTTAAAAAATATAAAATCTGCAAAAATTAATTTCTTTTTCAATTATTTTATGAAACAGTTACACGCGTAGAATAATGCGGTTTTATTAAATTCTGTCTGTAAAATTTTCTAAATCATGTAGTGAAATAATATTAACGATACTTTAATGATTACTTATGTTAGAATTATAAAGTATTAGAGCCAGACATCAGACGGCTGTTAAATGCTAAAATTATGCTGTTAATGGAAAATTATTTAAATTGTATATTATTAGTTTAGAAATAATACAGGCATGCAGGTTTATTGTGTTCAAAATTGTATTGCATGATTCATTGCAGTTATTTTTACAAAAAAAAAAAAAACTTCAAAATTGTTTTAGAAGCTGACTTTGCGATCATAATAAACTGTCGTAAATTGCACATTTGTGAATATTCTGATTGGAATTTAAATGCTGGAATGTAAAACTCTAAAAGATTTTAGATACCTGAAGATGGTTTTTGACACATTGACTCACATTTTGTGATTTATCACTTCTGCAGACCACCAAGATTTCAAAACCCAAATCATTAAATTATTTATCGATTTCAATAAAATGTTGTTGTACAAAACAGACATTAAAAAATGCACTAATAAAATTGTTGCCATTTGCTAATTCATGTCAGGTTTTAAAATTTAACCTCAACAAGCTCGTGCTGTTTTAAACCCGAAAAATGTGTCAAAATCATAAAATTCCATTTGAGAATCCAAAGGTCCAGTAAATCACATTTTATTGACTCCCAATTTCAAGGAGATTACAGCTTTGGGTATCAGTTTCATAGGAAATGCGAAAGCTCGAATTTCTATTTTTATAAGCCTTATTATGATTCACATAAGGATATAAAACTCAAACCTAAACATTTTTATTCTATATCGGAATGTAAAAACCAAGAAATCAGCAAATCAGACTGAAAAATATTGCAAATCCATAAATTCCCAGTAATAGACCCAATGTTTTATAAATGTATCCAATGAGAAAGTTTGAACGTCGTTAAAAATCAGCAAAATTAGCAGTTATAAGCCAGAGTTTCCTAGAATATAAAAACAAGAGATGTCGAATATAAAATAATCCTACCAGCATAATAAAAAATCCTCAAACATTTTATAATTAGACATAAAGCACACGTTTATTAGCCATAAAGAGCTTTTTCTTATGAGAGAGATGCAGACATGAAAATTTTGAAATTTACGAGCCTTAAAAAAATTTTCTCTTCATAGTAAAAATAAAAAAAATGAAGTCAATGAAATGCGACACATATTCTTGTATACCGAATCATCCTTAATGTTTATCATATAGAACACATCTTAACAATTTCGTTTATCTGAGATTATTATGATAAAAAAGAGAAGAATTTAAAGCTCACGGAAAACTTTTTATGATCACTAAATTTTTTGCTATTTCTTTGTGATTTTTAAGTGTTGTATGATGCTAGATCATCATTTGCTAGATGACATGTTAGTCTTGATAATTTTACGAGCACGTTAACGTCAAATAAAATTATTGAATAAAGTTGATGGAACTTAACATTATTATTAACGGTCAGATATTTTTCTATATTTTTATGGGAATTTTTGCCAGCCGCATAGGACATGCCTCTATAGTATACATATTGTCATGGTTATTTGGAACTAATATGCAAATCAAAGGTTCTAAAATACTTCAAATAATTTGCATTGACTTTCCTCCTCTTAAATGCCAAGCACGGTCTACTTATTAAAATCATAAGCATACATCCGAACCCAAACAAAAGCTCAATAAACAATCTCAATGACAATTCGATCATTCGCAAATATTACCGCATTATTCCACGAAATGCACAGTAAATATTTGAAAACTCATTAAAGAAATTCTTTAAACGCTCAATTAAGTTTCATCATTTTTTTTTCTTGTTCATCGTGACTCTTTTTCCTTTAAATATCACTCAGCCATAAAATGTAGTGTCAATTCTCACTCGAAGAATAAAATAGAAAAAGAAAAACAATAAACACACTCGAGAGATGAGAATCAATTGGGTTCATAGTAAAATTGGCTCAAACTTTAACGAAAAAAAAAAAGAAATTAAAAATAAATATACAATTAACTTCTTATTTTAGCTCAATCTGAGGTGATTTTTGTGAGATGTTGGGGACAGATGGGTGCAGTTTGTATGTTAATGATAGACTAAATCTTGATACTGAATTTTTTGTCTTTAAGCCTTTAGTCTTATTGACTTAGATGACTAAATCTTGAATTGATCTCAGATAATGCAGTTTGATTAAGCATGGAATGTCGTCTGGACTCAGACTGCTTATCAAAATATCGATTTAATCTTGAGTCAATTTATTAGATTGCCAGCCTGAATTTGAACCAAATTTCTCAAAACTTTCGCCAAAAATCGAGAAAAATGCGCTTAATCCTCTGAAAATTTCTTTAAAAATCCACTTGTTTATTTCAATTTTTTGTGTGTATATATTCAATCTTGTCGCATTCACGAGTTTAAATTTGTAAGAAAATTAAAAATAAGTTTGCTTCTTTTTCCTCCCCAAACGTCTTTCTTTCTTTTTCTTTTCTCTTATTCATCTTCGAAAAAATTTCTTTTTATTTTAATTCTTTTCGCTATATAATTGTTGGGTGGACGGAACGTAACGAAGGAAAGATTTTCGCTTACATCTACGAGACTACACCAGTGATCGTACAAATTTTTTCCCTCAAGTATGAAATTTTTTTATGTGGTGTTGTGATCGTTATTTCAGTCGATCGTCGAGTCTCGAAGGAATATCAAGTGCGAAAAGGAAACAAAAAAAAATTTTAAATTGCGGTAAAAGAAGAGCGAAAGGATAGCAAAAAAATTATTTTTCGGTGCGAATTTAGTGAAAAAAAAATAGTTCGGAATTTGAAAATAAACAAAAATTCATTTTTTTTTATTTTTCCAGGTTTATTTGTGCATTTTTTCTTGAGAAAAAAGTGAAAAGCTAGAGAAAGCAAAAAAAAAAATTTGTGAAAATAAAAAGAAAATTTGAAGTGAAGAAATATTTTTGGATATCAAAAAAGCAGCTCGAAAAAAATTAAAGAAAAAATTTTGAAAGAAAATTTTCACTGTAAATCGAGAAAGTAAAAATAGAATAAATTCAAGGTGAGTTTAAAGATAAAAAAAAAAAATTTCTCAAGATATTTCAAGTTCAAATATATTATAAAACTTGTGAAAAACTTATTTTGTCAAGAAAAATAAAATTTTCATCATCATCATCTGTCTATAAGCAGGCAGTAGCAGCCAATATGTTAAAAAAGATAATGTGGATTACATCACAGCACAAAATTTTTTAAAATAAATCTTTTTCTCTCGCCATACGATCGATATTTTTTCAATACTCCACTTGGCTCACACATTCGAGAAAGTTTTCTTATTTTTCTGATTATTTTCTGTAGCGTGATTTCCATAGAAAATGTGAGATTCAATTTAGGATTTAGTCGGTCTGATTAATAAAATTGGGATCGTTTTTTATGGATTTTTATAGAATAAGTGTCGATATGTTATCACTAGAATGGGAGTCATTAATATTTTGCGAATCTTAAACGTGACGAAATGACATAAAAAATAATTTTATGAATTTTGAAGAATTAAATTCAAATAGATTTTATTGACTTTTATTTTTTATTACTTCTCGTGTAGGACCTATGTCCCACTTAGTCCTCAAAAAAGATTCTTATTACTTTTTGTAACCAATAACAGTTTCAAACCAGACTAACGTCACGTTAAAAATTGTCAGTTACAGAAGTTTTACCGATTTTTTTTAAATATTTTGAATCTTTTTTAACCGTTGGAAAAAAACTTTATTCAACATAATTCGAAGCTTTTAACTGTTTAGTTCTTTAAAATAAATAATCTTTGACATATTTTTAATGTTTTTGAACTGAAAATGCTTAAGTAAATGCAAGAATTGGTGATTTTAAAAATTTTCAGAACAAAAATATCAAAAGTAAACAAAAGTTGTAAATGTGTAAGTGAATTTTTTCACGAATTATAAATTTGTTAATTAATTGTTAATTGAAGCTCTTTTTTCTAATGTGAACTATTTAATAGTGATGAAACATAATTAAGATTATGTTAATTTAGTTAAATCATTGTTAAAAGAAGCTTAAATCATTGATTTTGATTTTAAATTTTTTGATTTGTTTACATTTTTCTTAACGGTCAATAAAAATTCAAATTTTCGTCTCAAATTTCGAAGTTTTCGACATTAATTTCGAAGACATTTCGAATTTTTTCGAATATAAGGTGGCGTAAGTCTGTTTCAAACTACATTGCCTTAACAAATTTTAAACACTGACTGTGGACGAATCCTTTAAAAAACTTCAAAAAATTGCCAATTGAGAAATATTTTGACTTATTAAAGTCACTTTCTAGGTCAATTTGTTTCTCCAGATTAACCTCTGTCGAAGATCATCCAAATATTTCAAGGCAAAATGCAATCGCATTTCTGAGCATAGTTCCATAAAAAAAAAATTTTAAAGCAAAGCCATTAAATGATTCATTTCCATTATCAGAATGTGGACAGTTTTTAACGACACAATAATCACAATGAAATCAGAAATGAAAATTTTATAGCTGATTGTTCTTGAACCTAATTTTACTATCGACAGTTGTTCAAAAATTAAAATAAAATGATTTTGTTAAATTTGTCTTGAATTTTCAATGTCACGAGAAAAGTGCGCTAATTAAATTCAAGTCTGATGACCTTTCCACTTATATTCTCTTGCTTCATTCCAAACAGCACAAAATAAAAAGAATAAAGGAAAGATTCTTTGACTTTGGCAAATAACGAACAACACAAAATTCTTTCGCGATATCGAATTGAAATTCAGCTTTAAGCATAATCAAAGTTCTTGTTTCATGCGGCTGGAATTTGATATTTTCTCTCTTTCATTTCTTTCTCTCTCTCTCGATATCATCGACATGCTGATTATCCATGGCAATATTAACATCTGCCTGGCTTTCCTTACTTAATTGAATTTTGTGTGTAAAAACTTTTTTTTTATGTGAAACTCTCATTTTTTTCACATTTCGAAATGGCGTAATCGGTACTAAATTTATCTTTATTTTTCTTGAACTGAATTATATATATATTTACACACATATACAAAATCCCATTGACTTCTTTCTGTTGTGCCTCACTCTCGAACTTTTAATGTGCGATAGTGACTGAAATTCTTTTTTGTGCCGATGTTTGTGTTGCGCGCAAAATAAAATAAAAAAAAATGTATATTGAAGAAGACTCGTTTCATCCCGCAATCACAAGTTGATCAGGAAGTTCAGTGGTTCTTTCTTATGTTGGCGAGAATTTGCGCATGAAAAACGAGCAAAGAATGATGAAGAGAAAGAAGAACAGAACACAAAAAGTGTGTGAGAGAGAGAAGAAAAGACACTGTGATTTTATTTTTAGAATCAATCGTGTAATTTCATTTCCTGGAAGTTAATTGGGACACAACGACGACTGATTTGTGCATGTAATGTTCTTTGCTTGATGATCGATCGCTTGAGGCGATTAAATTGCATGATATAATTTTTCATCAGTTTGCTTGTGTGGTTGGGAAATATTCGGTAGCTCGAATGATGTTTAATGACGCACATGCACGAAAAATACCCGCAACATGTGTGTGTGGGAAACTGTTTAGTTTTTTTTTGTTTGACATAAAGCTTGAGTTTTTACATATCTGTTTGAGAAAATGCTTTAGGGATCGCTCGTCATTTAGTTCTATCGAAAATCTGATATCTAGACTAATCAATATTTTGGTCACATGGCTTCACTAGTTTAATTTGTGTTTTGGTTGTCAAACAGCACTTTGAAAGGTGTACGTTATTGAAACTCCCCCACAAAGATGCTGAATTTTTGAAAACTTACAATTTATTGAACCATTCATTAAAAAAATTATAAAAACGTCAGGAGATTACCTCGCAAGAGCAATCTCTTTAAAGAAAGTCTATTTTTTTCTAAACACTGACCCTCAATTTTCTCTATAAATGTGCGATTCAAGATCGTAAAATTTATTTTCCGATTGTTTTGATTCCATAAATTTACGTTATCTCATTCATGAAGTTCACATTTTTCTCTTTCATTTTCTCTCTCACTGAGCTGTGTCTGGGCGGCGAGAAAAACAAATTTTGGCAAAAAAAAATCATTTCTTCATTTTCATTAACTCGTTTTGAGTCTTTTTGAAGTTTTATTTGAAAAATTCCAATATGTATAAGATCTATTTAATTTGGAAGCAAGGATTTGGTATCACGTTGGATGCATCTCAGCCTGTAGCAACTTGTTCAAAAATCATGATTTTTCTATAAATTTTCATAGGGGGGTACAGGAGGTTTGGCATTTCTCATTTTTTGTCATAGTTTTGTGGATGTTTAATTTCACGCTATGGGTTATTAAAATATTTTTCCATCAAATGTTGATATTTATTTTTCGACATCATCAATTTGTCATCAATGAGAACTGCCAGAAATTTTTGCATTGGGTTATTAAATTAATTTAGCTGAAATGTGACAGGTGGTGATGGTAACAAATTTCGTGACATTTCAGCTGAAAAATGAACTTTTTTCAATTTTCCTAAAATTCAAGAAAATTTTATTCAGAACCATGAGTCACTGCGCCACCTCTTTTGAATACCTGACAGATCCACAGATATTTTAATAAATTATTCAAAATGAAAAAAATATTTGCGAAATTCAAATTTATTCAAGAATCATAAATGCTGAATGGTATTCAATGAATGTCATTTAAATTCAAACAATCTTAACTGAAAATATTGACAATCTAAATGTCACATCAAATTTATAGAGCAACAGTTAATCGATTCCATAAAAGCTTTAAATGCTGCAAAACATTCTGAATCCACATGAAAAAATTTCTTGTCTTGGGAAGTTTTTTACAAGATAAACTTTATTTATGTTGTGCGAGGACTATCTCGCTGAAAATTGAATTCATCTTGAAGCATATGATGCTTAATAAAATTAAGTCAACACTGCTTGAATTTTTGGCTCACCTGGAATTTTAATTTGAAAATATTAAGGTTATTGATTCTAATCTATGTGACATGCTGTAAATTTTGGCAACATTCAATTTTCTTTAACCTTCAAATTCAATCTGTTACAAAAGTAATCAAATATGACCTCAAACTTTTAGAGGATTGCATGATAATAACAGTTTCATTTCCTTGCCAAATGATTGACACAAAACATCCGCACATAAATTTTGATTATTGATTCCACAAAATAATTATTCTCGGTTTCATGTTTTATGTTCACCTATGCTCATAACACTTAACCGTTGGTTTATCATAACTCATTCATGCATATAGAAATAACCTTTGGATGATTTTATCAGATTTGATATTTTGCAAGTTATAGTTGGATTTTTTCAAGTCAGAGTAATTAAAATCTTTAAAGAGCAAGTTGTATGAGATTTTAGATTTTGAAAAAAAAAAATCATTGAGAATGTTTCCTGCAAATTTGTCCTTAAGTGTCATCAAAATAATCCTTGCCTTAATCACAGTCATATTAGGCAAAGATAAAAGTGCCAAATAATGACTAAAATTATTCAGCTGCATTTAGACAGTTCATTCGTCAATTAAGATGACTCAAATGAATGGAATTAAGCTTCAATGCATTCGTACAATTTGTTTCATTTGCAGCGAGTTTTTAAGACTCCCAGACTGTCTAATTTAAAAAATAATCAAATTAAACTAAAAACGGATACACGGTATATTAAGTAATGAATGACTTTAGCGTTCATAACTGTTTTTTATTGACATGTGTGATTATTAATAAATTAAGTTTCATTGAAATTTGATTGCCAAATACAGGAGCTCAAAATTTCAAGTTGAGATTTAATTTAATTACGGAAGCTGTGAAGCAAATACAAAATATATTGAAGATTAATCAGCTCCAAATGAAAGAACTGTCTATGTTCAGAATAAAGTTGTTCAAAAATAGAAATTAACAACCACAGAACAAGCAAAACTCATCGATCACATTCATAGCTCAATGACCGAAAACTCGCAAAATCTATTCTACGTGATTGGATAAAAATATCCAACAAGTTTCACAAATTCTCACTAAGAAATTTTCCGAGAATCCCA